AATTACCTTAATTTTTTGTGTTTTAAATGTTCTTTCTGACAACCTTATTCTTCAATACATTTTTGCAGCTTAATTCCCAAGACAATAAAGCCTTTAGTAGTAATGGAACAGGTATTTTATCCCATTGTACTCGAGCATATTTGCGGAGTCTAAGGAGGGTGTAGGTCAGTGATGGCTACAACCTCCTTAGACCTATGGCACGCGTGCCACAGTCGGCACGCAGAGCCTCATCAGCCGGCATGCTACTAAAATATTACTTCCTTAATCAATAATCACAATAAAATTATATTACGTAATTTAAATAAGTGTTTTAGTCTGTTTCTTGAAACTTTCACTTACTTACTTATCGTATAATGCCACTGGCATAGGGCCTAAGCCTAGATATAAGATTTTGACAATTCGCTATAGAAATTATATACATGTTTATTGACGCAATTTATGACGTTTCAATTATTTTGGCCAATCATATTACTTGTTACATTGCAAAGAATACGCTAAAGTTGAAGCAGCTAATGTTTTTTAAACGAATTCAAATTTATTGCAAACTGCCGGTGAGTTTTAATACGTTTATTGTTAAACAGATTTTTTATACTCCAGGTCTTGGACCCTCACAAATGACTCCGGCAAAAAAGGCAAAATTAAACATTGATAGTGCACGATCGTCTCAAGAGTCCTGGACAGTACAACCATAAGATTGTTACCGAATTCGATGAAGCCAAGCAGAAGGTGTTTATTGATGGGAAATTGAGGCATTATAAATACTAGAAAATGGTTTTTTGCAATTATCTTTCTAAAACAAACCATCTAAAAATGGCCAGGTTTCAAATTTCACTCTGCCTGGCAAAACATGGTAAACCGTTTCCGATGGAGACTTAATCAAAGAAGTTTTGGGCACGCAAAGGCTTCGGCCACGCGGCTCCCAAAAGGTTCGCCACCACTGTTGTAGGTCGAAGTTTGAATAATCCTCTTTAAGTCCGAAAGCACAAAAATCCATAGGTGACACACGAGGAGATTTAGTAGGGATATGACTGAAGGATAGGGGTTTGGTATCCGTTTTCTTGTTCCACTTTTTTCGGGAAATCGACAGTAAATTTGACACTCTTGCCGCTTGCTTTGTCTTGATGAAGTTCTACTAATTGATAACAGTGTGGGTAAAGAGAAAGTATTTCACATTTGAAAATATGGTATAAAATATGTTCCTGATGTGGAGTTGATTTTATAAGTTTTTGCCACTCTCTTTATTTCTAATTTACCGTTACATGAAAAACCAGCAACAAATATAAATCACTTGCGAAAGCTTTCTTTAGATTCTCTGAACCATGTTTTAAGACTTTTTGTCCTCTTAGATGATAATAAACGGATACCATTTTACAGCAATCATTTAAATACATCCAAGATTGTGACAGAAGGTTTTTCATTTTTATCAGGATAAAGGATTTTCAAAAAGAATTTTCAGCGCATTCTGCGTTCGGCGTTATATATTGTGGAGAAAGACGATGCACATCAAGAATTTTTCGCTTTTTTACTTCCTTGTACGAAGTAAAATTCCTTGTACGAAGTATTGTAATCGCGAAAAATTTCAGGCAGCATATTTCAACGAAAATATCCATTTTGACCGCTATCGAATGCAATTTAACGATGTCTTTGCGTGATATCTGTACGTAAGGCCAGAATAAAACACTCTTTTCCTCCAAAAATATTATAAAACTGCTTTAAAAGGAATTCTGAAGAGAATTTTTCGTGGCGTGTGTACGAACGTATGTACGTACGTGCGTACGTACGTATCTCGCCTAACTCAAAAACGACTAGCCTCAGAACATTGAAATTTTGTGTATAGGACTACTATAACCTGTAGATGTGCACCTCGTATTTTGGTTGCAATCGGCCGCACCAAACGTATATAAATATATTTATATATATATCCACTCTGTTACCCGGCTCAGTGATCTCAGTTTCTTTACTCTTATATGTTTGTAAATTGTAAATTTTTTGCTTTAAAAATGATTGAATTATGTTGTTTTTATCTTCCGGTTAAGGATTTTATGCCTTTAGTAAATCTGTGTGCAATATTTTTAGAATTATCAGCAATTTTAAAGTTGTTTAATTGCCGCTAAGCCTGTTTTTAATGGCGGCTATTGATGTTTATATTTGAAACAGGAGACTAGTGGATTTGTTTCCAATCTAGAGAAACTTAGCTTCGCAACAACAAAGATAACGCATTCATTTATTATTGCCAATTAAATCATGCTTAATCCTTTCTGGAATTTTTTCGAGGAAATAAGTGTTTAAGATTTACTTCGTAACTTTTAATACAGATATTTTGAGTTTTTATGTATTTTTGCATTGTCGCGAAGTAAGAACTGAATTACTTGAATGAAAAATATTCAATCGTCTGTGAAAACTGTTTCTTTTTGTTTTGTTTGTTTCATTTCTTTTATACATTTTTCTAGCTTTATTGAAGTATTTGAATAGAGCATGTGGCAACGATTAGATAATTCTTTAAATGATATAAGTTTTGTGCATTCTGAGTTATAATACGAACTAAATATAATACTGTTAAGTGAACCTAGCGCCAGAGTGTCTCTATGTTAAACAAATAGAGTGAATTTTAAAGAATGCATTTATTCTATTGTGGTTTATGCGCTGTCGGCGAAGTAGATTTAATTCAATCCAATAAGTTTAAACGAAATGCATGAAAAAAAGCGTATAATTTAATATTTCGTGCAAGGAAGTCATGTAGTGTACCCATCAGACTTTTGAGATACAAATTAGCATTAATCACTTTATTTACAGTTGACACTGAGCCTTGAATGATTTTGCTACTCTCCTTTGACTTGGCGAATTTTGGTTTAACATTTAACATCTTACCTTTGCATATTTTAAACATTTCCCGTTTTCCTTGGATACACATATTTGGAACAATTCTACCACTCAAAAACAAACTATGCTCCCCCCTCTTTCTTGTTGACAGTATTATCAATTGTGGCCTTTTAAAGAAATACTAAAAATCATGGCTTTCAAAACGTCTTTCAATAACTGAATACGAATAAATTTCTTCAGAAACGAGCACAAATATAACCTTCCATTCATTGCTTTCTTAAAGCGCCATTTTGCATTAAAACGAAAGCTTCCAATAGCAGACGATAATTTATATTTTCAAAAATATAGCTGAAGTTAAAAAGAAAATTTCCAAGCAGGCGATTGTTTCTATAGCAAAGCAAAATCGTCCAAAGAATGTGTGAACAACCTTTGTTATTTGAAATCTATCCATGCGTTATTTGAAAAATGATACACCGCAAAAGTGATTCGACATAGAAATGAGGATAAGTTAAAAGCATTTATAAGAGTCAATGCGTTATTTGATAAATAATACGCCACAAAAGTGATTCGAAGGAAAAGTGAAGCTAAATTATATGAAATATAAGCGATACATATTATCCTTCGAAAAAGCAAATATCAGACAACATAATATATTTAAGCGCTCTAAGCGTCCCAAGTGTACCATTATAAGTGTTTTTGAGAGAATTTAGATATTTGCAAGAATATCGATTCTGTTATTGGTTCTATAACAAAGTGGTGGAGTTCAATCGATTTTTGAATTCAAAGACGTGATAAATGATACAACGCTAGTGAAAACTAATTGCCAATACATGGTAATGAAGCACTGTGGGATCCACCGATTTCAATTATCAATATAAATATCAAAATAGGTCGTTGTTTTAACCATTTCTTTTTTACGCCATTTTATTGCATTCGATAAGAAAGCTGTTGAATTGTTTTATTTTATAAAGCTATTATTATTAAATTATGAAGCTACTGGAATATGGAGTTTCACACATCAAATGCAATCCCGGTATTTCACAGAAGCATGCTGGTAGTCCCTTAATAAAAGTAGTTACTCTTTTTTGATCATTCTACTTGACATTCATAAAGTATAGTGCTGAAAGACTCATCAAAAATGGCCACTCCTGCATTTACTTTATGAAATTGGGAGGAATTTATATTTAATGAAATAAAAAATGAATAGGTTATTAAATTAATGAATGGGATCATTTTATGTTTTCTTAATTATTTATATTTATTTTTATATTTAAAATTAGCGTTTTAGTAGTGCCATCTAAGAATAAACAACTAACTAAAAGTGATAGATTGCACACTACTAAATCGTTACCCATCTGCCGCTAATAATGTAACTTTTTTCACGTGGTTTGTTTGATTTGATTAAGACATTACTTTTTGTGTACTTTACTATAGAGTCCTTTTTAGGGGTAATTTTTTAAAATAATTTTTCTCTCTGAATAATTATTTCTGTACCCTTTAAATCATACAAATACAAAATTTGGTGTCCCTCAACTTATTATTTACAAGTAAAGAATATTCCGAGCAGGCCAACATTATTAATTTCTCAATCTCATATATATGCATAAAGCCAACTACATCATTAAGCTTTTGAGCCCATTTTTTAACATTAATTCATGTATCTCCGGCTTCGTTTTGCATTTAATCGCTCTATAAGGTCTTCGTGGTGTAGTGGTCAGCACGCTCGACGCGCATTCGAGAGGTCCGTGGTTCGAATCCCAGGAAAGGCGTTGCTCATTTTTTATTTCTCCTGCTCTCAAAAATTACCTAATATCTCTACCACTTATAGGAAGATTCAAGACGGTTACTCTATGAATGGTGTCTATGATGCTCTTACCTACAAGAAAGTAGTGTTTTCTATCCATAATTCTGTTTTAATTCCTGCAGAAGCATATAAAATTAAAATATATATCTGTTTTAATGAGCTCTGTATATCTATCAGTATATCAAAAGTATTTCAAAAGTTTTTCAGTATTAGTAAATTGCAGAATTCCTCTAGGAAATGCATATAAGATAATAGGCATTAGTTGATGTTGATAACGATAAACATAAACAACATTTGCACCTTAAATAAATGAAAAGAACGTATAAAGTAATCATTATAAAAGTAACCCTCTTCCTTCCTTAACAAATCCATTTACCTCTAAGGTTGTTTGTAGAGTTCAAGCAAAGATGAGAATGAGTTGCATGCAGAACTTTCATCATCCGTGAATATCGGTCGAGTTGCCAATAAGTGTCACATTCAGGCAGAAGACGTTTGTAGCACTCCTCCAGACCTTCTATGTGTCTGAAACAAATGAAGATAAATTACATATGCAACTCCCTGAAGAACGTTTTTGTTGGTTTAAAATAAACTCTTCCTTTATTAAAATACTGAAAATAAATCAAAAAGCAAAAAGGAAAAAAAAATTATAAATAATTTAATAGCCTAATTAAAAAAACGTTCTAATATCTTTATTATCAAAAATTAGCCAGCATACCTGTATTGGATTAATTAGAAATAAAGACATAAATTAATTCATACTAACAGAAAAATTTGGTTTTATGTTGCAATTAAGTCTAATTTCTTCTAAGTCGGTCAGCCTTTTAACCTATGTCATTTAATCTAACTAAATCACGTGTGACTAGGGGGAGGGGGAAGTCATCCATCCAGATTACCTGGAGTTCTTTCAGTCTGAGACCTAATTAATATCAAATATGCTTCTGTAGCAGAAATGGCGGATTCTGTGCAGTGCCTCGTCCTTATGAGATCTTGAAACTGAAGTGTGTCATATGGACTGCTGCAGTTTGATTTGCTTTGTTTTTTACAAGAAACACGCAATCTAGCACAAATATAGTTATCTAAGATTCGACGTTTAAATAGAATACTCATTTTAGTACTTAAAAGTTACGCCATTTTTACTGGAATTAATAAGCTTATACCTTTTAAGAAAAATTGATGCCAGATGCTTCTGTCTCTGTCGTATTTATAATACCTATCTGGGGCTAACATGAACTTAACTAGCTATCTTGTAATTTAGATTCCGTGGGTGAGTTCTCACCACTAGAATAGTTAAACGTTTCAAAAAATAAAAAAAAATATGTGTAATTTATTTTGTAAATTTATTTTAGCTCACCATTTGTAAGGGTTAAACTCCTTATACAGCGCAAAAGCACTAGTCACCTAGATTTGGCTGAAAATACAAGCTTCCTTAAACTATTTTAGAATTACAAATAATATAATTGATTCGAACAGAAGCTACACCAGCCACATAAGACCGCAACCGCGATTCAAACTTTGCTAACCGAATCTATCTTTTAGCTTTTATATGGAACCTGAGGCACTGGTGATTCGCCAAGCGAGAGAAACTTTCAGTCAGTCAGCGACGCCGTGGACACTAAAGCTCTCACCTACAGCTCTGGGCAGTTCTTCTAACCTTACAGTAAAACTGCTTACCACTCGAATTTACATAAGTTCTGTAATAAGCGAATCTCGTTGGAAAATGAGGCAACAGGTAAAATGTAAATTAAATAAACGTTTGTTAGTGAAACCCAAACATAATGCCACAAAACGACAATATCTAGAGATTTTACATGATTTTCTACAGTGTAGAATCAATAACTCGGAAATGCACTTTTGTGTTTTCCAGAAAAATGGAGCTACACTAAATATGGAAAATTAATTTACAGCAGTAGTGGAAAGAGTATTTACAGGAAGCCTATTTCGTAGCTTGGTAACATTACGATGTCGACTTTCTCACCGTATCTTCTCCTTATGACGGCTGACTTTGAAGATACTTTAAACTGAAGGTTTAAATTATAGGCCGCAGGTAACTGAGGAACTGAAAAATACTACCCGTATTTAGATCACGGCAATGAATAAGGGTGCAGAGTCGTAGCTAGAGTTTTCAGAGCCCAGGGACAACTGAAGATTTCGCGCCCCGTACTGGTTGCCAAGGATTGAAAACATTTGATTCTAAAATGTCGTAACATCAGTTTGGCGCCCCTTGGATTCTGCGCCCGAGGACAGATACTCCCTTTGCCCCCCCCTCTAGCTACTATCCTGTAAGGGTGCACTGCTAATACCTCCTTACCTCCTCCTGTCTAAGGAGGTATTGGCACTGTAGAACTTCTGGGTTTCTGGTTCTTATACCTCTTCAGAGTGAGTATTGGATGCAATTACCTTTAAATAAGATGACGATAAAATGGCAAACATTGTTCTGTAGGATGACAAAACAAAACTTAGAACAGGAACTATGTTATCCTTTTTTATTTCCTTTTAAATTCAGGAACATCTTTATGCCAGGCTTTGTACTTAAGCGAATACTAAAATTAAGTATGAAAAATTACTTATCAGAGCTACATTCAGGTATTATTTAAAACCATTTGTGAGATGTTTGCCCTTGTGTGTGGTGCAAGCTCCACCACATATCTTTGCTGTGGGTGGAGGATAGCTAGTGATATTATAAAAGTCCTAACACGTTAAAAACATTTTTCAATATGAGTGGAAATTAATGAGTTATTACAATAACTTAAAGATAGGTACACTGCGAGAAAAAACAAATGGGACAGTTCTACATCTCCCTTTCTACTGGGCCAATTCACGGAATTCAGCTTGCGTTTTTTTTTTTTTTTTTTTTTTTTTTTTTTTTTTTTTTTTTTTTTTCATGCCTCGAAGGCGCAACTGAAGATATATATTAGATTTATATATAGCATCATTCTAACATAAGCATTTTAATACAAACTCAGACTTTTCAAACCTATGTTAGAATGATGCTGTATATAAATCTTATATATATATCTTAAGTCGCGCTTTCCAGACATGAAAAACGCAATTTGAATTTCATCAGTTGGCCCAGTAGAACAGGAGATGTAGAACTATTCCATTTTATTTTTTTGCGAAAAGATTCGAATTGATTGAAAATCATAAAGGAATTAATATTTTGGTTTAAGCCAACAACTTCTTAAAAACTTTATGCCTGCAGCGTGGACATCTAAACGAAATTATTCGTCACCATGCTTTTGTAATGTTTTAAGGCTTTTACATACACAGCTCTCTTCAGGACAAGAATACATTTTACAGAACATGGGCCCCTATAATCACAAGGTCTGGGGCAGTGTCCATACGTTTAGATCAGCAGTCGGGGAACCGGGGTAAATTACCCCAAATGGGGTAAAAATGAAACTTTTGTGAGTAAAAAGTATATATTTTTAATTTGTTATTTTATAAACCTGTTTGTATTTTTTCAACTTAAACAATTTAAACAATTTGAAAATTTAATTCAAGTATATTACAACTATTATTTTCTGTCTCCCTTCAGATGGCAGCAAATAGAAAAAGAACATACCAAGACGAATTCCTTAATTACGGTTTTACACAAATAGAAGAAAATGGTACAATGAAACCACAGTGTGTTGTATGTATGAAGGTATTGATTTCAGAATTGTTCAAAAAAGTCAATTGAAGAAACATTTAGATAATTTGCATTCACACCTGTCTTCCAAACCGCGAGAATACTTTGCAAATTTAGAAATATCTGTTAAAAGACAAAGATTGAATAGCAACTTATTTGGTACATTTGATCAGCGTTCAGCATCAAGGGCTAGCTTTGAAGTAGCCTGGTTGATTGCTCGAAATAAGAAACCATACACTATTGGTGAAGATTTGGTTAAACCAGCTGCTGTAAAAATGGCAGAGATAATGTGTGGTCAAAAAGAAGCGAAGCTGAATTCAGTGCCCTTGTCTGCGAGAATTGTGAAAGAACGAATTTCTATATTAGCAGAAAATGTGAAGAAACAGGTTACTTTCGCATTAAAACAGGCTAAATATTTTGCTATTCAGCTTGATGAGACAACTGATTTTAGTAGCAATTCACAGCTAATGGTATATGTTCGCTACAAAGGTGCAGATAATTTTGAAGAGGAATTGCTGTTTTGTTCTCCTCTCGAGTTGAGATCTCGTGGAATTGATGTCTACAATAAAATAAATTAATACTTCAATGCGCAAAGTTTAAAATGGGAAAACTGTATTTCTGTATCTTTGGATGGAGCTCCAGCTATGCTGGGTCATATTAATGGTTTTTCGGCTTTTGTAAAAAAAAAAATAACCCAAATATTGAAGTTACTCACCGTATGATCCATCGCCAGGCCCTTATGGTCAAATATTTAGAACCTACACTGGAAGCCGTCATGCATGATGTCATAAATTTTATCAAGGGACATGCACTAAACACGCGGCTATTTCGTGAATTATGTGAGGACGGTGAAGCTGAATATACGGACCTACTTTATTATACAGAAGTAAAGTGGCTCTCTCGCGGAAATGTACTAAATCCAGTATGGACTCTCAAAACTGAAGTCGAAATTTTTATGGTTGATCAAAAAAATATTCACTCAGATAAGTTTAAAAACTCTTCCTGGGTTGCATATCTCGCATATTTAGGGGACATTTTTGAGAGTATAAATATATTAAACAAAGAATTGCAAGGAAAGAATATTAATATCATTTCAGCGAGAGAAATAGTGTCAGCGTTTGGATTAAAGCTGCAATATTGGAGACAGAAAGTAGAACAGAACAAGATAGCTTCTTTTTCAAGGTTAGCTTTGTTTTGAAAGATTGCGAAAATATTACTTTTGCTGACATCAAGGATACAATTGTAAGACATCTTATCAAACTCAGAAAGCGGTTTTCAGATTACTTTCCAGATCTTGATACACGTACTGTCAGTTGGATTGTAGATCCTTTTAAATGTGAAATTGCTATGATACCAGAAGAACCTTCAGGTTTGGCAGAGGCAATTCTTGAACTTCGATCTAATACTGAAGCACGTATTCAATTTGAGAGTAAACCAAATTTGTCGTCTTTTTGGATGTCAAAAGCTGCAAAGGCTTTCAAAATTGCACATGAAGAGGCGGTTAAAAAATTGCTGCCATTTGGAACAACACATTTGTGCGAACAAGGCTTTTCCACTGTAATGAACATAAAAACGAAGAACAGAAATCGATTAAACGCCGAAGACTGTATTCAAATCGCTCTTACATCAAAAAGTCCCAATTTTGAAGCAATTGTATCGAACATGAAACAACATCATTTCTCCAAAACGTGAAGGAAGAATGTTTTCAATTATTCTTTTTTTTCTAATTTTTTCAATTCTAATTTTTGTTTGTACCACCATTATTATTATAATTATTTGTTACAGTACTCCAAATTGTCAACCCTCAATTGTACCCCAATGGGTTTCAATTTGTTATATATATTACTTATATTACTATTATTGCCGTTATGTATTACTAGGTATTACATTGATAAATTGAATAAATGATGTTTAAATTAAATTTTTAGTTATTGTTTTCTTTTCAAAATTATCATGGGGAGCTATAATATGAAAGATGCTAAAAAGAGACGATTTCGCTTTTTTTTTTTTTTTTTTTTTTTTTTCGCCGTGGGGTAATATCAACTTACACAAAAATATTTTGGGGTAATGATTAAAAAAGTTTCCCGACCGCTGGTTTAGATAGTACTGGCCTCAAGAAGAATACTAACAGTGTTAACCCTTGGCATATCTTCAAGCTTTGTGGACTTATTTGTTAATTACGCGAATTTTCTGCCAATGCTGGGACTGATCTTAATGGGGAACATTTTAAGAGAACTGGTACATATTCATGGTATTTCAGAAATATGGGAAAAGTCAAGGAAACCCGCAGTCAGCCCGTTCAGCCACCAGCATCCAAACCCAGAACCAATTATACCAATAATTCATGTTTTTAACCAATGAAAAATTGTCCACCTGCAATGTGAGTAAGAAATCACAAAACATCAAAAACAGCTCTGGGAAGGGAAATTTCTCCAAATGTGTGGATGATTAGTGATGCTTATTTAACATGGTTTCACTCGACTGGAACACAAAAATAAACACACGAGCAATTGGACTCTATTCTTCACTTTTATTTATTACACATGGCTGTCACAAAAACGAAGTTCTATTTTCCACACGACTTGTTGCCACATGCAACAAAAAAGAGAGAAACTTATATTCCAAAAGATAAATCATAAATTAATTACTTTAAACATCCGGTGCGAGCGAACTGCTGGTTCAGCCATCAATAAATAAACCAAACGATCTAATTTTCATGAGCTAGCAATACTCACATGAACTATTAGCATTGTCGTATAAGTAAAGCGAATGCTGCAAACTGTTAAGATATAGAAATTTCTAAGGTAACTTTTCATGACATACTTAGTTTTAAAGTCATGGATATTTTACTCTGTCGTTCCGGTTAAGAAAGGCTTCACTTCAAAGAAGTTCGGCTAACAGAAGTTTTGTTATACAAATATCAAATAATCCATACTAAAACGTGACGCCTGGACGTGATAAAACCTCACAATTATCACATTCGCCTTGTTTCGCATCACGAAAGAGCACGATTTTGAAAGCTTCTCGTTTGGTGCTGCCATCTAGTATTAACATTTCGAACTAATACGATGGGTCATGTTTCATCATAGTCCATTTGGTGCTGCCGTCTGTGAATTATCATTCGGAATGTAAATATATTCAATTTTAATTAATAATAGAATTAAGTTTTATAAATAAAATGACTCGATTCATTTGAAGAATATTTACAAAAGTAGGGTTAAAAAGAGGATTTAAAAAAATGTAAATTGAGAAGAGGCGCCCGATTATTTAACTTGACACAATACCACCAGACATCAATTTTTGCAAGTTGCAAAGTCTTCCGGAAAGACTTTGCAAGAGTTTTTTAGAACTCTTGGTTTGACAATTTTTGCTACAGTCATGTCCACCAAACTACTCCTGTATCTCTGAAAAGCATCTAATCTAAAGCAGAAATGTTGCTAGAAATGAAGTTTCAACAAAATAATAGTTAAAGTCTCGAAGCGTTCAAAACCTATTCCTGGGGTGGGGTAGAAATCATCAAATCTTTTTTTTTTTTCCTTTTTTTTAACATTAGTAGAATTCCCTTCAGTCCAAACGTCAGTTACTTGTTTATATTATTTATTTATTTATTTATTTATTTTAACATCAGTAGAATTCCCTTCAGTCCAAACGTCAGTTACTTGTTTATTAACCTCCTGCACAAATTAAAACAATTTAAGAATTAGAGAACCATTGTAAACCTAATATGGACAAAATTATGAACTTTTAAATGTGATGCCTTGTTTTAAATTGAACACTTTATATTATGTCAGATTTAATAAAACAGAAAATCAATCACCACAAATTACTCTTGTTTTCAATACAAAAATGAAATTTACCTGCAATAGTTCTGTAGATCAGTTCCTTCGAGAAGAACTCTTCCTCCTCCGTATCTGCTTCCCTTCTGCTGTCCCTTTAGAATGGTCTCAATGTGAGGAAAATCCCTTTCCAAGTAGATATTCAGGCATATGTGAAGTTCCTTCGAATTGGGATGACAACCGTTGCACAAACTGCATTCTGCTTAAATCCAGAAAGTGAAGATAAGTTATTGATGGATGAAAATGAAATTTAAACGTTTAAAATAAAATGTCAAAGCTCATCGATAAGAAGTAACCCTAACAAAATACAAGTAAATATTCAAAAATAAATTTGTATTGCTTACAACTGTTACAGCATGAGTTATCAGTAGAATATAGTTAGCCCCCCCTTTTTTTTTTATCTTTTTTATGTGTGTTTCCTAGAGGAATATATGCCATAATGTAAACCAAAATTTGGGCTTAGTTTAAAATCAAAGTTATCAATGAAATTAAAACCGGAAACTTAAACAAAAGTGATAAAATACGAGTAAAAAATAAAATACTCGTATTAATAAATGTATTATTCATATAACGTTACTATCTCTTCATCAATATATAATTAAAAATTAAATATAATATAAATTAAATATAAATAGGATGGAAGTTAAAGACAGCAAAAGTTTCTGAATAAAAATTACTAAAAATCTGAAATCAAAGTCCAGCGGTTACAAAATATAACTAACTAAAAATTAAAGGGAAACGATTACTTAGGTTACTTCATACTTTATTATTGGTTCCATTAAGCAAGTTGAATAAAACAGAAAACTTATCAAAGAATAATAATCATTTTGAAGAATTTATCCTTCACTTCTGACTTGTCGGAGAATTAATCTGGATAATAGTAATCTTCATGAATTGACTATTTTTGGAAACTTTAGAAGGAAATTGAATGTTGAATCTGGATAACTTAAAAGAACTGTAATTTTTCAGAGGTCTTCAGTTATCAAAGTTGCAATTAAAGAGCAACGTTGGACAGTATGATGGTCAGCGAAAGCTTACTGTAGTCCCTCCTTGCGAATGTAATATCGCCCGACAATTTGTAGTATACTCTCAGCGCCTTTCTTTCTCAAGAGACGATGCATGTTTAAACAGCAAACTTTCGGTCGTTGGATGACTTTAAAAATTAATTTTACATGAAAACTAATTAAATGTTTAAATCAGGCAATCGGCTAACAGTCTTGTAAAGGCAGTGCAAGGTTTGTCCTATTTATGTGTCTTTCCTAGAGCCCCTACTAAGATTTGGTACGTGTGATTATTTAAATTAGGAGAAAAGTTCCATTTCGGAATGCTTTTTTTGTTTGATAAAGAAAATTTGATATGAAATCTTAAATTTTTACTCGAAATTTGAGTTTAGTAAAATCGTTATTGGAGATACTCTCGATAGATAGCTAGATGCTGTGAGTCTTTAAAAATTCTGTCTTCCTAAAATGTTGGCAGTTAGTATACAAGGGACAAGTATACAGTACTTACAGTAACAAGGGAAAAAATTAACAGTTTCACACACGCTTGTGTCAGATTTGCGCAATGCTTATGGGGTCCCACAAAGTTTTCGTAAATAATATGGGGTCCTGGGGGTCTCGAAAGAATCTCAGTGATAAAAAGGGGTCGCGATTGAAAAACGTTTAAGAAACCCTGATTCAAAGTATTGTAAAAAGGTGCTCGACATAGTGTTTGTATATTATTATTTCTTCACTACATTATATTTTAGGATTCATCCTTTCTTCCATGCAAAACATCTTCGTGTATGCATGTCATAATAAGCTGCAGCTTGATGCTATCAGTGGTAAGCGAGTTGCAAGTACGCTAAATTTGAAAAGCGAGTTGCAAGTACGCTTTGTTAAGTTTCTAATTTGCAAGTCCCTTATTCTTTTTGCTTGCTTGTTTATTTAATATTTTTACTTGTAATAATGTTTCTCTTCTTGGAAATTAGGGTTTCTTTTAGTTTTGTTTTTTAAATTTGGTTTAGTGCATTGTAGGTAACTTAAAACTTAAGCAGACGCTAGAAAGTACCATCTCCTGGTAATACATTTCTTATTAGGTATCAAATTGTGGAACAAGCTGATGGGATTAAATGCCATTGTTTAACTTCGCAATTAAAGAACTGAAATACAAATATATGCAATGAGATACAGTACTATATATATTCATAATCAAATCATTAATATATATATAATCAAAGTCATGATTGGTAACCATCAAATGATATGTATAAATACACTGGAGTGCAAAAATTAAGGACGAGACGGTTTTTTCAATATAACTTTGTACAAAAGCTTTCCAAATCAACACATTTAATACCGTAAGATCCCCAATACGTAAGGACATGAGTAATGTAAGCAACACTTACTAAAAGAGAAATCAGAGGGATAAAAAGAAGCTTTATTGAAAAAGTAGCATGAAGCGCAATGCGACTGAAGGCCAAAACATCCCTGTGATGGGTGTCCAGCAAGAAACATCCAGTCTTTAATAGGGGATATGATCTCCCCCTGACTGCTAAGCAAGTTTCACAGCGTCTGCCCATGCTGAGAATGAGGGTGTCAATGAGTTGTTGAGGCATTGCTGCCGATTCGTCTTGGAGCGCCAATCGAAGCTCCGGAATCGTTACTGGTGGTAAGGTACGAGCTGCCAAGCGTCTGCCTAGAAAATCCCATACATGCTCGATCGATGGGATTGAGATCCGGAGATCGTGCCGGCCAATCCATACGTTCAATATCCTCACTCTCTAAGAGCTGTTCGGCAGCTACTGTGCGATGACATGGTGCATTGTCGTCCATGAAAAGGAACTGCGGACCCATAGCCCCTCTAAAAAGACGCACATATGGAAGAAGAATCTCGTTATAATAACGGGTCCCGTTGACTGAACCTGCGTCGAAGATGTGAAGGTCTGTACGACTACCAAGCATGATGCCTTCCCAAACGAGAACACCGCCACCTCCATACCTGTCCCTTTCAATGATGTTCGAGGGATGATTGCGGCTTCCCCGCTCTCTCCAGATGAGTATGCGATGAGAATCGCTACTCAGACTGAATCTGATCTCATCTGTAAAGAGTACTCGTCCCCATTCATTGTCTCTCCAATTCTGGTGTTCCCGGCACCACAGAGAACGCCTTCTCCGATGGGCAGGCGTTAGAGGTACACACCGTACAGGGCGTCGTGCAAACAGACCACCACCGTGCAGTCTTCTGGCCACGGTAAAACGCGATATCGGTCGTCCAGTCGCCTGTGTCGTGTGTCTAGCGATTTCTCCCGCTGTCTGCCGCCTGTTTCTTCTGGCCTGTAAGGCAATATACCGGTCATCTGCGGGTGTGGTTCCTCGTGGACGACCACTACTAAACCCCCGGATAGCTGTTTCTGTAGTTTGAAATTGTCTCCAAAGTCGTGAAACGATGCTGTGAGCAATTCCGAACTCTGCAGCCACACTTGTCACACTGCGGCCTTCATCCAACTTCCCAATGATTCGACCTCGGGTAAAAGCATCCAGATGTCGTCTAACAGATTGATTATTCGCCATTTCTCGCTGAGGCAGCAACTCGGTGTGATTTTAACTGCTATACGGCGTGCAATCTCTTTGCCAGAAATACTGATCTTACACCGACAACATGCTTTATACTACTCAGACACTCCCCCATTACGTCTACCTGCATATCTGGGCATGCGCTACCGTACATCACCTTACTTAATCTCCTTATTGGTCTTTCTTCCCGCTCTGCCTCTTCGTTCAGCTGATATGCTAATTTTTCGACTTCGTCCTTAATTTTTGCACACCGGTGTATATATATATATGTGTGTGTGTGTGTGTGTGTAATAGATTCTGTAGTCGAATGAAGGCGGTTAATTCCGTAATGAACAGAAAGAAGTTTGATGGCTTAGAGATGTTGAAACTCCAATCCACAATAAATAAGAAATTTGGCAGTCGAGGTAGATTTAATTCAACTTTTATTTCAGCAAATATGTTGCAGCCACAAACAAGTTGGCACATTATTTATGCCTATTCCAAAAGTTTACATTTTTGATAAATTTGTAGTAAGAAACAAGGAGAAGACAGTCTGCAGTCCAGCTAGGCCAAAGCGTAGAAAGAAAGTGGGTTACGTTGAGAATGAAATCTGAATTCGGATTGAGTTAGTTTTGGTTCTCAATGCATTTTTATTTGATAATTAATACTGCTGTAAAATTACTCTTGTCTGTTTGAGTTTCAGTTCCATTTACAACATCAAAATTATATAAGAGGCATATAACATGAATTAATCTCGAAATGACGCAGTGCAGAGAGATTACTATTTTTAGAATAGAGAAGGAAAATTAATTTTACGATGCTAAATTAATCTTTCACATATTCTTTATCTTTCTTACATATTTCATTCGATGATTGTGAATCATGACTTTGATTATTATCTTTCTATTCATTTTATTTTCAAAATTACATAAAAGGGAGTTTAAAATTTTGTAAAGAGAATTTATACAAATATTTTGTAATATGTTTGTAAATACTGACATGCATTGAGAAGGACAGAAGCTTGTAGGTTTCTAGATAATTTAAAAATTTTATAAAGTTTATTCGCATTGAATTTTATTTAAAATAACTCTACATGATTTCTCCACCATTTAGTTCTGTACATTTTATGAGTGCTAATTATGTACATTTGCTGGTTTATGTTTTTATTTACTAGTTTTTATGAAAATTTGATCTACAGTTCTATTTTTGTGTATTGCTTTTAATAGTGATTCTGTGTATTTAGATACCCGTTATACATAGGATTATGTGTATGGATACTCGTTGTATGTACGATTTTATGCATGGATACCCGTTATATGTGCGAATCTGTGTATGGATACTCCGCTACGGTATAATTCTATTGGTTTTGTTTATGGGTTTTTGTCTAATGTTTTGTGCAGCGATTTTGACAAGAGGTACCTTTATTGGTCTGTAGATTTCTGTGGACTGGCTTTTGCAGGGATTTGGCCTATGGGTACCTATATAAGTGTATGGGGTTTTGTCTACTGGTTTTTATGAGGAATAGACCTACGAAATATCCATTTTTTTATGGAGATTTGGCCTATGGATATGCATAAAGTTCTGATTTCTGGCTATGGGTTTTTACTTTGATTTCGTTTATGGTGCCTACAGTTCTACTGGTTTCTATAGGTTTTTAGGGAGATTTGGCCTACTCGTATCTGTACAGTTCCGCAGAACTGTACGGGTGCCCGTAGGCCAATTCCCCGTAAAAACATTTTATGGGTTTCTACGGGGCAGCTTTAGCAGGGGAAGCTACATGAAATTTAGAGATTGTATATTGCAAACTATCCCAATTTATAGATTGCTCCTTCATACGCTTTTGATTCCAGTATTTGTCTTAGATCATTAGAAATTAGCTTAGCATCAGTTTCGCATATTTAAGAAGTGAAACTTTAAAGTGAGCATTTTTGTTTCGGCCTCTTAACTGACACTTCTATGCAAAATGAGCAAATTAAATGAATTCGCATTTTTGATACAATGCGTATATATTTAGAAATTTTTTTAATTATAAGTTCTGAAATGCAGTTCATTAAATGATCTATAACTATAAAAATTTCTCTTAACTAAAATCTCCGTTCATTGTTATGGCCGTACCACTTCTTTCTATTTAAATAACTTACTGCCATTTTCGAAAACGAAAAATTTTGGATTATCGATATTTAATAACTAAACTTTTGTTCTTCCCTTTTTCATAAATAAGAATGTTAAAATAAAAATATACTTCAGTTTCGATATTTTCTTTTTTTACATTAAGTTGCGATGTTTGTACGTATTGTCTAACAAGTTTGAAACTTTTCTTTACAGCGAAGAATTTTAAATGTTCTCTTGCAGGAAACATTCCTTTACCAAATATTTTTATTAACGAAACTATTGGACAGGGGTTCGATCATTTTATTAGGAATTTCATCTTCCACTCCTAAAAACCGTTTCTATTAATCTAGTTAGATCCGAGTATACCTTGAAAGAATTCCTTTGTTTTGCTCGCATAAGCAAATAATTTCGATCATTGCATCGACAAAGCTTGTTTGTACTGAAAAAGAACAAGAGTCAGTTCGTTTTTCGCGGAAAACGTGCTTAGTGTGCCTAAGAGTAACGGTTTAGTGGTATAAACTGTCAACATTTAGATTGCCTTTTGAGGCCGAAAATTGACATATCCAGATGAATAAATACAGAACTAGTTTGGATTCTGAAAACAGTACTTATCACAGATACTCAAAACGTAATTAGCGGTCTTTCTATTTTTTAATTAGTTAATAATTCATTTCCTGATCGGCAGCATAGTTTAGATACAGTGATAAGGATTCTAAAATGTTTTACTCCTATACTTATCTCTAAAAACCATACTTGAGAAAATGTATACAAGGGGACACTACCATTTTCAGAATGCTCATCTTAGGAATTTAAATAATCATTAATTTAGATTTAATAAAGCTCGACGTTGATGGGCTGGTAAGAAGACTCCACTGACTAGTAGTTGATTGGGTTTCGTTTAGATTAGGTTGCGAATTAAACTGCACGTTGAACCAAAAACTCATTTATTATAACTTTTTCCAAGTTTTTTGTATATTCATTTTTATTAATTGAATTATATATATTTAAGAGGTCATTAGGTTTTGCATTGTAACCGATGGCGAAATATTAATAAACGATAATAATAACTTTAACCGATAATAAATATTGGACATGCGATTTATATGCACGAAGCTTTCAAAAACTATGAAATTATATTTAAGAGCATGAATTAATATATGTGTTATATATGAGCACGATGGTTAAGAGATTATAAATAATTATATGCAAGGGAAATACTATAGTAAATAAATAAACATACTTATTTTGTGTTAACATTATTTTAACATTTTTTTAAGAAATAAATAAATAATCATATTTATTTCTTAACGATGACAAAATTACAAAGAAATAAATTTTTAATTATTAATGCTGCAAGTTTAAGACGTTTGAATTAAATATCTACAGAAAATGAAGCTTTTAAAAATAAAATATAACTTACCTGTGATAATTAGAAGCATAAGGTACAAGAATATTCGATGATTCATTATTTTGGATTATCGCCAAAAATTCAACAATGCTTAAAAGTCAATGTACTAAAACTAAAATACCGCATTTTAACACACGTATAACTAGCTTTCTACATCAGAGCAAGTACACTCGTTGCTACCGTAGCTTGCAAGGATATGAAGAAATTATAGTTAGAGATCATCCTGATGCGGCGGTTGGATACTTTAATGGAAATACTCCGCGAAGAAGGTGTGTGGGTGCAAAAAGAAACTTTGCGCTAGAGATTCGAGGAACGGAACTAAAGTGTTGAAAACGCCTCATTTTTCATCCCTTTCCGCTTCCGGCTATGTGCACCGCGGTGAAAACCACCGTTGAAATATTTTTATTTACACTTTTTTTATGTGTGGTGGGAACTCAAGCTTACGATGGTGTCATCTTTCCATCAACAGCTGCAGGGTGTCTAGCATAGCACTTACTCAACTGCGAAACTTTGTAAATAATATAAACAGGCAATCTGCAGTATGAGTGAAAGTGGTCTGGGGCTGTGAAGTTTATAACAACAGAAGGGAAACTAAATTTCCTGCTAAGATACACATTTCTGAAATGCTTCCGAGGGAAATACTTCACAAAGTTGAATACTCAGATACAGTTACACAAAAATTGACAGGACCCCCCCCCAAAAAAAAATAATTTCTTAACCTCTCAATTTATGCTTTTATATTGATGCCTAAGGACTGAAATACTATAAAAAATACATAATATTATTTGTGTGATGCTACAGTAGAAATTAAACTATTGGACCCCAGATATCTAGAGATTCAGTTATAGGGATAGTTTATTCTACTTTCTAGAGCCAATAATACAAAACGAGTTATTAATTTATAAAAAATTAAGTAAATTTTTGTTTGAAGGACGTAAGTTTTCGGTTTTTCAATTTTGTATTTCATAGGTTCTTTCAATTTTGTTTTTATTAGACTTTTATTTTTTTGCCGAAATAGGCTCTGCTTTGATGTTATTATTTATGCAATCTCTATAAACAGCTATTCGTTTTCTTGGAATTAAATGTTTAGTTAAACATAATCGCGGACCGCCCATTTTTAGAATATGGTTTAAATGAATTTTTGGTTTAAAGTATACTTATATTGCGATCTAGCTTTATATTTGAATTTGAATTATGGATTTGCATATAATGTTTTCAGACCAACTTGTTTTCTTTTTTCTTTTTTTTCCCCCCGAATGGTCATTTTACAATATGTAATGTTTTGGTCTTCTTGTAGTCAATTTGAAACAATGTTATGTTTTATTCTTTTTTTCTAAGTATTTCGAAGGTTAGTAGGGAAAATCCTGGTACATTTGAGATTCACTGTTATCGGTTTTATTGGTGTTTTCATGAAATATAAATTTGTTTCTTTTTTCGGTTTTTGATCTGAAATTTACCGGGAGAACGAAAGATGTTTTCGCAGCATATTAATCAACTTTCATGAAGCTTTAATTCAATTTCACCTGATGAGTTCTGAATTAAAGGTTCAATAAAGGGAGATTAATTCTTATATTTTTATTATCTTGTATATATTTTCCCTTTTTGCATTTTTAGTTGTCGAGTTTGTACTACTGTGATTATTTTTACTTTGAAATGTTTCGATTTTATGTTTAACCTCTTTACAAGGATGCAATTATAAATATTGTTGAGCAATCCCCTTGCTTTGACTGCAATTTACTTTTAACTTTAGATGCTCTAAATTTATTTTACTTCAATCCTGCAGCTATAGCGCAGGACGGATTTAAAAAATTTGCTTTTTATTTTTGCCTCTTATGAAGTTTTTTTATGTATTTATGTATGTGTATATATAAATACATAAAGTTTATTATTATAATAAGTATATATATATATGTGTGTAGGCTAAAACAAATAAATAATAAATGGGCTTTCTCTTTCTCTGTATATATATATATATATATGTATATTGTTTTGTAATTACATATATGTCTAAATATTGTTCGCGCCTTATGTAAATTTTGATTTTGTTCTCTGCAAGAGGGCGCCTGCGAGCGCCGAACTACTTGTATATCTGTTGTACGAACTTGTTCTTTACTCAGTCTAATAAACGTAATAACGAACGTTTGTGTCTACTTTCCATCCGCTAACATGGTCCGTCGTGTGTGTGTATTGTGTGTATTTAAATATGGCAAAGCACACGAGGGCTATCTGCCTAAAGGGAGGGATGCCTTTCGTGGAGGACTTTCTAAGGGAAACTGGCTCGTATACACGTTACACATGGGGAAAACCACGAAAACGCCCATGCAGCCAGCCCGTTCGCGGGATTCGAACCTCAGACCGAACTACCAGTGTTCAGCGTCTTTACCGCTCGGCCGCTGGTGGGCAGAATGGTCCGTCGTGAGCCAGCGCATTTCTTTGGATGATGTGTCAAGACAATTTTTAACGGTCTGGTATAGAAGGACACGGATTTATATTTTGTCTGGATTGTGAAAACAGCGGCAGGAATATGGAGTCGATTTTAAAGCAAAAGCGAATCATTAAGGGTAAATTGACTCGTTTAATTTCACAAGTAAATGGTTTACAAAATCAAGAAAATTCCTATTCTGCCATTGAAGTATACGAAAATGATGTTGGTGCATTAGGTGTTGAAGTGAACTGTTTAAACGATAACATTCTTGGTACTTGTTCTGACACAGAGTTTAGTAAATATGAAATGGAAATGAATGAACTATTTTCCAAACTGGATGCATTAAAAATTACTTTAAAGGAAGAATCAAGAAAACTTAGTAATTCAGGCAAAGATATAATAAATGCTAATGCAAACGGCTTGAAACTTCCTCGCGTGGAATTGCCAGTGTTTACTTCTAATTATGTTGATTGGATATCATTTAGGGATTTATTTCTTGTCAGTATTGGAAATAATAGTACATTAAATGACAGTCAAAAATTGAAATATCTTAAGCTTTCTGTGAAAGGTGAAGCTGCTGTTTTACTACAATCAGTTCAAATTTCAAACGCGAATTATGAAAAGGCATGGGAAGCGCTTACTGAACGTTATGAAAACGAAATAGAAATAATAAACGCAGCATTAAATAAATTAACTTCACAGCCTGTTCTAAAACATGAATCAGCTTCAGGTTTGCGGAGATTAATTGATACAACACAACAGTGTATTGATACATTAAAAATCCTTAAACAGCCGGTAGAGCATTGGGATACTATGATTATTTTTCTGTTAAAAGGAAAATTTGATTATGAAACACTAAAAGAGTCGACGATAGAGCATTCTGCTTTCGCTGAATTCAAGCGTTTTATTTTAAACAAAGCGAATGCTATTGCCTCTTTGGCGAAGTGCCAGAGGGAGAAGGCAGTTTTGCCTTCTGAAATTAAAACTCGCGGTTCAGGTAGCAGATACGCTTTTTCGTACCAACTTGTGGCTAATGTGTGCGTTCATTGTAAGAGTAATTCTCATTCTCAGTTATTTAAATGTGATAGCTTTTTAGAACTCCCTATCAAAGAAAAATGGGATATTATTAAAAGGAATAAATTATGTGCTAATTGTTTGAAGGATAGTAAAACGCATCCCATTTTTAAATGTCGTGCAGGCATTATTGTTCGAAGCCACATAATACAGTGTTATGTTCGAAAAATTCAAATGATGAAAAATGTCATATACCCATGGAACACCGAACTTCTGCTATTAGTAGCAATAACGCCACGGTGCCTGTCACGCAAGCAGTTTTATTGCCTACTGCAGTTGTTTATGTTAAAGATATTAATGGCGATTTACAAAAATGCAGGATGCTAATTGTTTCAGGTAGCCAGGGCTCATTTATTCGGGAGCACTGTGTAAATTTACTGCAGCTAAAGCGCACTAGTGCAAACATAAGTGAAAATGGCCTGAGCTCACAAAAAATTGGAAAGGTTTCAGGTTCAGTTCAATTACAAGTAACATCTCCATTTTACAAAAACGCAAGCATTTCAGTTAATGCATTAATTATACCCAAGATCACGTGTGACCTTCCTCAATATCAAGTTGATAGATCTGTTTTGACATCTTTCAAACATTTGTGGTTGGCAGATACAAATTGCTTCCAGCCTGGCCCAATAGATATTCTTTTAGGCGCAGATGTATTTGGCGAGATAATGCTTCAGGGACGTTTAACTGTTCCGGGTCATTCGTAAACAGCCTTGGAATCAATATTCGGCTGGGTCATTATCGGAAAGACTAAAAGTGTATCAGAAACAATTGTATCTTATCATGCTTAGTTGTACCAATGTTCAGCTCCAACTTGAAATATTTTGGAAATTGGAAGAAATTTCGGAGATAAAGCATTACACAGAAGAAGAAATTGAGTGTGAAAATCATTTCAAGCAGAATTTTTCTCGTGATTAAACAGGTAGATTTGTTGTTAAGTTTCTATTTCGTAGATCTGGCAATGAACTTGGGTCATAGAGGAATGTTGCTGTACATCGTTTACAAAGCACTGAACGTCAGTTTATTAAGAATAAATCTCTTTCCAGTCAATATCACAAATTTATGGAGGACTATCAAGTACTGAGTCATATGGAATTGATTCCAGAAAATGAAATTGATGTTCCAGCTAATTCTAGTTTTTACCTTCCGCACCATTCAGTTCCGGATAAAAATGGTGATAAATTTCGAGTCGTATTTGATGGTTCTGCAAAATCTTTTAGCGGCATTTCTCTTAATGAGAAATTGATGGTTGGTCCACAGTTACAGACTGATCTGACAACATTAATTATTCGTTTCAGAATTCACAGAATAGCTATAACTGCAGATATAGAGAAAATGTACAGACAAATTATACTAAAAGATGCTGACTTTCAGAGAATAGTCTGGCACGATTCACTTTATAAACCAATTCAGGATTTTCGATTAACCCATTTATGCCTACTGTTCCATTTTTGGAACATCCCTCACATAAAAGTTATTTTTAGCCCACGGGTTCAAGGTCGCACACATGGTTTGATTTGTGATGTCAGCCAGTTTGTAAGGGCATATGGTTTTGCTTAGAACACAGAGTTTGTCACTCCTGCAGATATTTGGCTGCTGTGATGTTGTGAAATTTTGGTCTTCATTTTCGTCAAGGTTTTTGTAGATTCATCTATAAACAGATAACTATAACTCTGTTGCATTATACTTTAAAATTGTAAAAAAAAAATTGTGTTATTATTCAATTAGTTACTCTTTATTACTGCAAAAAGAAAATGAATTAGTTATAGGCTTGAAATTTCCATTTTGGAACACTAGGCA